TCTGATAATAATAATAATAATAATAATAATAATAATAATAATAATAATAATCTTTATTTATTACCCCGCCACCATCTCCCCAATGGGGACTCGGAGCGGCTTACATGAGGCCAAGCCCAAATGACAATTACAATAAAGAAAAACCAAAAACACAAACCGAAAACGCAATAGTGTTGTGATAGTGTTGACTGTGTACATGGCTTTGCTATGAACCCACTTCTGAGATCAAAAGCAGTACACAGTGCTTCCTGTCTTCACTGTGGCATTCACTGCTTAGTAGGAAGCATTGAAGAAACATTGCTAGGTAGAAGCAAGGGAGCAAAAAAAAAAAACTATTGGCACTAAATAAGGCAAATATTTTGCATCTGTTTGCACTTTCCCAAATCTCCTAAATAGCCTCCAATTTTATAGCCTGTGGTAAAGTAGGAAGCGGACTCTGTGGGACATTTCTACATGAAATAGAATTGTATTGCCAGTAGACATTTGTATATCTCCCTTTGTGTGTGTGTGTGTGAGTGTGTGCGTGCATTTATGTGTTAATACATATGTAGAAGGGGAAAGAGAGAGAGGACTCAATAGCTCTCTGTCTGAGAAATCAGACAAGATATCTGAACTGGTCATTTTGAAAGACTGCATCATTTTTCCATGAATGGTTATCATTTATTCAGTGACTCTCACTAATACAGTGTGTGTATATGTGTTTGACAAGGCTTACTATATGTGCCAGGAGATTTTAACTCCTTTTCTTGCACTGCTAGTTTGTATGAATTTATTTAAGCCATGCATTTTGCAATCAGGTCGCTTCCCCAGGTTGCAGTCATAGGTCCAGTAACCTATCAATCATCGTTAGAGCCTTTAGGCCCGCTCCTTTCCCCAGAGTTTTGGAGGGAAAGGAGGGTTTTTGTTCAGTCTCACTGTTTGAAGCCTAACAGCAGGACGTGTGGGATTTTCTTTCTCACCTGCACAAAAGCTTCATTTCTCACAGCTTTGCTGGGGGAAAAAGGAAAGGTTCCACAGCTTTTGCTGGGGGAATACAACCAGCCTTTGCTGGAGCAACAGGACAGTTCTTACAGCCTTTGTAGAGAAACTAAAGGACACCTTTTCAGCTTGGCAGATCTACAGGAACCTTGCCTGGTAAGGGACCACTCGGGCTATCCATAAAGCAGCTTGGAGCCGGGAGTAGGGGCCTCATGCCAGCAAGGTAAAGAGAGATTGCCCAGGGAGGGGTCAAAGGATTTCCCTAAGGAAAGAAAGGAACAGTTTACCACCAGTTGCCTGCCCCCTTGTTGGCAGATTGATGAAGCTACCGGTTTTCCAATGTTAAGGTAAAGGTAACGGTAGTCCCCTGACATTAAGTCCAGTCATGTCTGACTCTGGGGTGTGGTGCTCATCTCCATTTCTAAGCCGAAGAGCCAGCGTTGTCCGTAGACACCTCCAAGGTCATGTGGCCGGCATGACTACATGGAGTGCTGTTACCTTCCCGCCGGAGCGGTACCTATTGATCTACTCACATTTGCATGTTTTTGAACTGCTAGGTTGGCAGAAGCTAGGGCTGACAGCGGAAGCTCACGCCGCTCCCCGGAATCGAACCTGCGACCTTTCGATCAACAAGCTCAGCAGCTCAGTGCTTTAACCCACTGCGCCACCGGGGGCTCCAACGTTATAAAGTGTTTAATTCATTTGTTTGAAGATTTAAGCCCAAATAAAGAACTTTGTTGAATCTATCTTGAGCCTCAATAGAACTTTATGTTGGGAAATCTAAAGGGCCCTTCAGCTGAAGCACCCCGGCGTCCCGTTGGGCATACAGAGAGCACGTCCTGAAAACAGACATTATTACAGGCCCAGCGTGCAACAGCACCCTATACAAAACTGCCCTAGCCAGGAAACCTACAGGGATGTCATAAATGAGTTGATTATTTATTTATTTATTTATTTATTTCGTATCAAAAGCATTGCCTAAATTAYTATAAAATTGATAAAAATAGAAGGCACACAGGTGGCTAAATATCTTTTGACCAAAAACAAGCAGCAGCAACGGCATTGTCTGTAGCCTCCAACAATTCCTCCTCTGTACATGAGGCAGGGCACAGTGGACAAGCATACAGATGTGAAGTTGTCTGTTCTGCTCCACAGTCACACAAGATTTGGAATTATTTTAGGTAGTGCCATTTTTGCCAGGTTGTCTTTTGATCTGCCCACTCCACTTCTGAGTCTATTCAGGAACTTCCAAGTTGCCTWTTCTTGGTTTGCCCCTGGAGGAAGACCCTCGTGGGGGGCATCCAGTTGGGATTTCCTGGTTTAGCTGCCCAGAGGGATACCCTTGCTGTTGCTGGGGGGACACCAAYAGGAGTGGTAGTTRTCATAAAGCTTTTCCTTTATTTGAGTCTGSTGGGAGGAGGCTGGTAGCCATGTAATGGATGCCTTTCACAGTGCTCAACCTTATTTCTCTCACATTTAGCAGCAACTTCCCATCGCACATTGGCGGGGGGAGGGGGGGGCAATGCCAGCTAGCTTGTAGAGTTTATCAACAGGTGTAGGTTTAAGACATCCTGTGATTATTCTGCATGTTTCGTTCAATGCTACATTCAGCTGTTTTGCATGGGCAGACCTATGCCAAACAGGACTGGCACTCTAGGCAGTTGAGTAAGACTAGGCCAGGGCTGATGTTCTTATTAATTTTGGGTCTGTACCCCATGTGCTAGGAGCCCCCGGTGGCGCAGTGGGTTAAAGCACTGAGCTGCTGAGCTTGTTGATCGAAAGGTCGTAGGTTCGATTCCGGGGAGCGGCGTGAGCTTCCGCTGTCAGCCCTAGCTTTTGCCAACCTAGCAGTTTGAAAACATGCAAATGTGAGTAGATCAATAGGTACTGCTCCGGCGGGAAGGTAACGGCGCTCCATGCAGTCATGCCGGCCACATGACCTTGTAGGTGTCTACGGACAACACTGGCTCTTCAGCTTAGAAATGGAGATGAGCACCACACCCCAGAGTAAGACATGACTGGACTTAATGTCAGGGGACTACCTTTACCTTTACCTTTACCCCATGTGCTGCCAGTAAGTTTTCACAGGATATTATTGCGTGCAGCTACTTCGTGCTTGGTGTTCAAGCAGTGTTTCCTATATGCTAGTGTTCGATCTAAGGTGACACCGAGATGAGTGGATGAATGACTGGCAGTTGTGGAGTTAGATGGAATTGCTGGTAGTTAGTGACTTCTTAGGGAAGTCAGATGAGAAACTAATGACCCTTTCACACTGCCCTTTATCCCTGGATCTGATCCCAGAATATCTGCTTTGAACTGGAATATATGAGTCCCCACCGCCAGATAACCTGGGATCAGGCCCGTAGCCAGGATTTTGTTTCGGAGGGAGCTGAGTTTGATTTGGGGGGGGGGGGGGGGGCTGAGTCTGAGTGAAAGAGGGTCTACCCTAGCAAACCTTTTGTATCGTTACCCCAATACCCCCATGCATATGGGATATATTGAGCATGGTGATCAGATCATGATATGAATAAACATAACAGTTTAAATAATGTACCAGTAAGGCCTTCTCGCGGACCACAATGAGAATTTCAGGGGAGGCTGAAGCCCCCCAAGCCCCCCCCCCCGGCTACATGCCTGCCTGGGATAAATAGATAATCTGGGATCAGATCCTGGGTAAAGGGGCAGTTATTTGGATGAGGAGGAGAAAGAGGAATCAGGAGACAGTTAAAGCAGAAAAAGTTTAGGAAAGAAAGAGGAGGAGAACTGGAATGATGAGGTAAATGTCTGGTGGTTAGGATAGTTGCTTAAGAGGACAATCGGATTAGGTGAGGAGATTAAGAGTATTACTTCTTGTCCTGTATCAAATGTGTTTTAATTTTGGCTGTTATTTTCCACAGTAGATACGCTTACAGATTTTAATTCATGAATGTGTTCTGGGTGGATTCTGGGAATACTGTATCTCACCCCACATGCTGGTTTTGAATTACAAAAGCTCAGTTTATTAAAAGGAGAATCCTATTGCTCTTTGTAAAGGAGTAGATGGTGTCAGCAGGTTATTTTGGGTAATTTTAAGAGAAGCAGACAACTGAATAAGTTGCTTAATTATGTCTACGTAAAGGTGACGGCGAAATACCAGTACCTTTTATTTCTTACCTAAAATTGTTCTTTGAAAATACAGTTGAGAGACCAGATGGAAGTGCAAATTATTCCAAAAGAAAACAAAACACTCTTTCATGTGAGACCCAAGCCTTCCTCTAGGATGCGTATACAAATTGTAATGAGTCAGGTCATCAGTCTGTCTGGCCCAGTATTTACTATTTTAAGTTGTGACAGAATCCTATTCCTAACATTCCTTTTTTTGAATATTTAATTGGAGATGATAGAGACTGAACAAAAGATTTTCGTGCCATATGTGAACATATATCCACCTTAGGTAAAGGTAAAGTCCAGTCATGTCTGACTCTGGGGTGTGGTACTCATCTCCATTTCTAAGCCGAAGAGCCAGCGTTGTCCGTAGACACCTCCAAGGTATTTCTTTTTCATAATCTGCAGTGACCAAATATGTCCCTGGACCCATAGTTTTGTTGCAATAGCCTCCCCTGATCACGGTTGGCAGAGAGCAAGAGGGATATCAGAGAATCGTCTGGCTATGTCCCATAGCCAGACACAGACTGATGGCAGCATCTGCTGAGAACTTGATGGAAGATGTTATCGGTCTGCGTATGGCTGCGGACCATAGGCAGATATTTCTCTATTCCCCTTCTGCCTCCTGCCATGGAACGGCCATTCAGAGGAGCAAACCTGTGTACCCAAGAGATGGTGAACAGGGACTTGTAGTAGTATGCTGGGCAATGTAGGATTTTGGCTTATAAGTGCAAATTACGTGATCTCTGCAATTGGAGAATGACATTGTTCACATCCAACATTCATCTAGCTTCTGTTTTGATTGCTTCTCAGTGCCAGACCAGTCCCTATGTTTTTTGTGCCAACCTCTCCTCTGCTGTGTTTCATTTCAGGGTCGTACAGGAGGACCTGGGCTTCCGGTAAATATTCCCTTATTCCTTCTGCGTTCTTGCCCTCTATCATTTCTGCTAGCTGTAGTCCAGAGTGCTTTGAGAAAAAGCTTTTATCTTGCAGTCTCGCTTCCGCATTCACAAAATTTTGTAGAAGGTCCAATAGATACCTTCCCATGGACCTTCTACTTTTGTAGAAGGTCCAATAGATACCTCCTCCTAAGTTTCCCCAGCACCTAAAGAGTTAAAGAAGAAAAAATAAAATAGTTGTTCAACAAAAGCACTTAAAGCACCCAGAAGGCAGAACCTAAATGCTATAAATACTGAGGAAGAGGTACTATATGAGAACATGTTGTAAAGAGATTCAGATTTCATTGAGATGAGTAAGATGGTTCAATAGTTCAATGAAGATCGCTGGTAGAGAGTGTTCAAAGTCCCACAAACATCAAGAATCATGTTTTTTTTTTTCATTTTTAGATAAACTTTTTTTGTTCGAGACAGGGCAGTTTGTAATAATAATAATAATAATAATAATAATAATAATAATAATAATAATAATACTTTGGGTTGTTGTAGGTTTTTCCGGGCTATATGGCCATGTTCTGGAGGCAATTTTTCTCCTGACGTTTCACCTGCATCTATGGCAAGCATCCTCAGAGGTAGTGTGGTGACCTCACTACCTCTGAGGATGCTTGCCATAGATACAGGCGAAACGTCAGGAGAAAAATTGCCTCCAGAACATGGCCATATAACCCAGAAAAACCTACAACAACCCAGTGATTCTGGCCATGAAAGCCTTCGATAATAATACTTTGTTTATATACCGCTCCATCTCCCCGAGGGGACTCAGAGCAGTTCCCAGGTAACATCAAAAAACATACAAAGTAAAAAACAACATAACCATAAGATTAACAAAACAAAATATAAGCATAAAAATTGTCGCCATAACACACATATATTAAAGGAATCCTGCCTGATCAAGGCAATTTGAGGGACCGCCTCACCCCCTACTAACCCCAGAGATCCCTCCGTTCTGAGGACCAAGATCTATTGGAAATTCCCAGTGTGAAGACCTTGTGTCTAACAGCAACCAGACGCAGAGCCTTTACAGCAGTGGCACCATCCCTCTGGAATACTCTGCCACCTGAAGTCCGTGCCTTGCGGGACTTATCAGCTTTCCGCAGGGCATGTAAGACATATCTGTTTCGACAGGCCTTTGATTTGTGATATTGCTGTTTTTAAATTGTTTTAAATTGTTTTTAAATTGTGTTAGATTTTAGTCATTCTTGTAAGCTGCTCCGAGCCCCAGGGGAGTGGCAGCATGTAAGTTCGAATAATAAATAAATAAATAAATTTTAAAAGGCCAGGTCATGATTTGTGCAAACATAAAAATTCTAGGCGGCCCGGGAATTAAGTGCAATGCTATGGCAGGCAACAATAATATTAGGTACGGCTCTGTGGCTGTTCATTCCGCGGCCGATTAGAGGAAATGATCTGGGTAATTGGTAGGAAGAATAAGGCCGTATTCGACAATGTGTATGGCTGAGTTAGAACTTGTCATTTTCAAAGGCTTGTTGAAACCACCAGGTCTTCAAGCTCTTACGAAAGGAGGGGAGGGATGGGACCTTTCTTATTTCCCTTGAAAGGGTGTTCCAGAGGCGGTGGGGCCACCACTGAGAAGGCCCTCTCTCCCGTCCCCACCAACCGCGCTTGAGACGTTAGGGGGACCAAGAGTCAAATGACCAATGACCAATGACAAATTTAGGTGACTAAACATGTCATATCATCACCATATCCACATGTTTTGCATTTCTGTAACTAATTACACACAGATAAACATATATTAATAAGCACTTCATTCTCTGCATCTCATCAAGTCAAATCTACCTATATCTTTCAGTAATTTCAGAGGTGCGATAGTATCCCTTGGCATGCAAAACATTACAGAATATTCCAAATGTCATAACATGTATAAGGACAGTATGAAATTGAAAATGTTATTTATTTTCTAATGTGCCTTTTTAAAAAAGCAACAACCAGCATTTATCCACATGAGTGGCATTTTTGTAAGGGTGTCACCAAGACTACAAAATTCCAGGGTCACTCGCTGACAGATCATATCCCTTTAATGTATAAGTGACATTGGGAACCCCCACCCCCACAATACTAATCACAATTGTTTGTATTAAATTTTCATTTTGCATTTCCCAGGTTTAGAAATCATTCACTATATCTAAATTTTTATAGTCTATGCTTCAGCAATGTGGCCACATCACCACACATACCTAATTCCAAGTTTTGCATCAGGATATTTTCGACATCTCAAGCTTGGTAGAAATATATATTTTCCATTTTCTTTTGAGAGCATTTGGTGTGCAAACTTGTATGTGTAAAGGTAGCTATGATGGAAGACTTTATAGGCAGCTCTGTACTCATTTCATTGTGCCTTTGATATTTTCCCCGTAGCTTGATTTATCAATTGCATTTTTATTTACACAATTCTGCAGTATTTCATTTAATTTTTTTCAGTTGTTTTCATTCTAATCATATTGTTTTCTGTTTCACGGTAGAGGTTGTTATTTTAATTCACCACATTATGTGTTTTTATTGTTTTGTTGTTGTTGTTCATTCGTTCAGTCGTCTCCGACTCTTCGTGACCTCATGGACCAGCCCACGCCAGAGCTCCCTGTCGGCCGTTACCACCCCCAGCTCCCTCAAGGTCAGTCCAGTCACTTCAAGGATGCCATCCATCCATCTTGCCCTTGGTCGGCCCCTCTTCCTTTTGCCTTCCACTTTCCCCAGCATAATTGTCTTCTCTAGGCTTTCCTGTCTCCTCATGATGTGGCCAAAGTACTTCAACTTTGTCTTTAGTATCTTTCCCTCCAGTGAGCAGTCGGGCTTTATTTCCTGGAGGATGGACTGGTTGGATCTTCTCGCAGTCCAAGGCACTCTCAGAACTTTCCTCCAACACCACAGCTCAAAAGCATCGATCTTCCTTCGCTCAGCCTTCCCTAAGGTCCAGCTCTCACATCTGTAGGTGACTATGGGGAATACCATTGCTTTAACTATGCGGATCTTTGTTGCCAGTGTGATGTCTCTACTCTTCACTATTTTATCGAGATTAGACATTGCTCTCCTCCCAAGAAGTACGCGTCTCCTGATTTCCTGGCTGCAATCTGCATCTGCAGTAATCTTTGCACCTAGAAATACAAAGTCTGTCACGGCCTCCACGTTTTCTCCCTCTATTTCCCAGTTGTCAATCATTCTTGTTTCCATAATCTTGGTTTTTTTGATGTTTAGCTGCAACCCGGCTTTTGCGCTTTCTTCTTTCACCTTGATTAGAAGGCTCCTCAGCTCCTCCTCGCTTTCGGCCATCAGAGTGGTGTCATCTGCATATCTGAGGTTGTTAATGTTTCTTCCAGCAATTTTCACCCCAGCTTTGCATTCATCCAGCCCCGCACATCGCCTGATGTGTTCTGCATACAAGTTAAAAAGGTTGGGTGAGAGGATGCAGCCTTGCCGTACGCCTTTCCCAATCTTGAACCAGTCTGTTGTTCCGTGGTCAGTTCTGACTGTTGCTACTTGGTCCTTGTACAGATTTCTCAGGAGAGAGACAAGGTGGCTTGGGATGCCCATCCCACTAAGAACTTGCCACAATTTATTATGATCCACACAGTCAAAGGCTTTAGAATAGTCAATGAAGCGGAAGTAGATGTTTTTCTGAAACTCCCTGCCTTTCTCCATTATCCAGCGGATATTGGCAATTTGGTCTCTCGTTCCTCTACCTTTTCTAAACCCAGCTTGAACATCTGGCAACTCTCGCCCCATGTATTGCTGGAGTCTTCCTTGCAGGATCTTGAGCATTACCTTACTGGCATGAGAAATAAGGGCCACTGTACGGAAGTTTGAGCAGTCTTTCGCATTTCCCTTTTTTGGTATGGGGATATAAGTTGATTTTTCCAGTCTGATGGCCATTCTTGTGTTTTCATATTTGCTGGCAAATGGCATGCATCACCTTGACAGCATCATCTTTTAAGATTTTAAACAGTTCAGCTGGGATCCCGTCATCTCATGCTGCCTTGTTGTTAGCAATGCTTCTTAAGGCCCATTCAACCTCACTCCTCAGGATGTCTGGTTCTAATTCATTCACCACACCGTCAAAACTATCCTCAATATTATTATCCTTCCTATACAGATCTTCTGTATAGTCTCGCCACCTTCTCTTGATCTCTTCAGCTTCTGTTAGGTCCCTGCCATCTTTGTTTCTTATCATTTGTTTCTTATCATTTGTTTCTTATCTTATTGTTTTGTAGGGGTGTGCAATTCGAATTTTGGGTGCTCCCCGTTCTGTTTTTGGGAAGATTCTGGGAGATTGGGGGGGGGGGGGGTTTGGAGTCATAATTTGGAACCCTGAGTTCTGTTTACATTTTGGGAATAAATGTAGTTTTAAGTTGGTAAAATTAATAATGACCTGGCTCCCAATGCTGAGTTCCACGAGCTTGAAAACAGACTTAGGGGCCCCGGAATAGATTGGTGGCCCAGAGAACTATTTCCTCACTGCTCGTTTACCCTCCTGATTAGAAACTGACGTAACTGTAATCATAGTCTATGTGCATTTACTAAGAAGGAGTCAGTTGGGTTGATGAAACATCTTAATGGACGCAGCCCCTTCGTATTTGTAGTCCCCCTTGATGAACAACAACAAAGGATACCAGACCTCTTGTGATTTTGTGACAGCCAACATATTCCTTTCCACTCCAAGCTTGTTTATATGAATAGTTGTATTAGCAAAGATTAAAAGCTAAACCATGGTGCCAGTTATTTTTATGGGTTTTGTGATCATATAACTAATGCTAATCTTCATAGAAACCGGGTATTAGTTTTTGTCAGTAGACATGATGGGTCTTCGGGACTATTCCTGTGCTCTAGAATTGGCACTTAAAAAAAAAATAGATTATTGACATTAGGAACTAGTATGCATTTCAACTTGTGAAAATCCAAAGAACCTGAATGAACTGTTGTTAGTTAAATAAATGCTCTCTTCGTGTCAAAGACTTTTTCTGAGGGCAGAAGACAAAAGCATGATGATGAAGTCAGCCATCTGGATGCATTTGCGTGGCAATTCAGAGGGATTTTGACTCCATTTCCCATCAGCTCTCTAAGTTATGAGTGTGGGGTAGTTCTTTAACATCTAAAAGGGCAAAGGAACACCAGCTTTGCATTAGTATATGCTATAGACTTAACACTGGCATGTCATCAAACGTTGCAGCCTCATGTTGAATTCTTTTCTTTCTTTTTTTTTACCAATAATCCTTAGAAGTGCAGCCATGTTGTTGTTCTGCCCTAGCTAGTAAGCAGCCCATGATAGAATGGAAAGGAATGTCCAATTGGTCAACATAATATACTGGTATATTGTTATATACTTTTATATGATATACATTGTGGTAATATATATTTCTGATATCAGAAAGTGCTCCAAGTCCTCCCGGGGAGATAGGGTGGGTTACAAAATAATAATAATAATAATAATAATAATAATAATAATAATAATAATGGTACTATATATTACCAGCATAGAAATTGTGTGGAAGTATATAGACTAGTAATATACTGATATATTTTGGGTGTATTAAATGTACTGAGATATACTGTATATACTCGAGTATAAGCCTAGTTTTTCAGCCCCCTTTTTAGGCTGAAAAAGCTCCCCTCAGCTTATACTCGAGTCAAGGTTATCTATTCTTTTACTCTGCTATTAGTATTATTTTATTTTATTACATTTATTATTTTACTCTATTATTATATTTACATTATTTTGCTCTATTATTCTATTTATTATTTTGCTCTATTATTATTATTACATTTACAGTATTTTACCCTATTATTATTACATTTATTGTTTTAATCTAATTATTATTATTATTATTATTATTACATTTACAGTATTTTACCCTATTATTACTACATTTATTATTTTACTCTATTATTACAGTTTTTATTACATTTTCATTATTTTACTCTATTATTTTTATTATATTTATTATTTTAATAATAAGTGCATTTACATTGAAGGAGGTTAGAATAATGGTTTAATAAGAGTTGAACAGTCTTATCTTAAATTACAGTTTTATGCAAATATTCAAAAACATTTAGCCTATTGATGCCACAATTAATATAATTTTATTGGTATCTATTTTTATTTTGAAATTGACCCATAGTGGATGCATTTCCCACCCTCGGCTTATACTCGAGTCAATACATTTTCCCAGTTTTTTATGATAAAATGAGCTGCCTCGGCTTATATTCGGGTCGGCTTATACCCGAGTATATACGGTAACTGGTATGATACTAGTAAAACAACCTAAACTTCGCTTGTCAATAGCAGGAAATGATGTGGAGAAAAGGTATGCTCTGGGCCAGAGTGGAAGGGGGGGGGGGGGGCAGGGGACAGTTCTTTGTCTCTTGTGTATGCTAATAATATAATATATTGTATATACATATATTTATAATATTATAATGTAATACAATGTAATAATAATAATATGATATAATTATATATTTTATATTACATGCAATATTACTAATAATATTACAATATAATGGTATAGTACAATATAGTAACATATAATACTGATATTGTATTATGCTAATCTATATATATATAAATGAAAAGGGCGTCCAACAGGACAGCAAAACTCAAAAAAACCCCCCACTAAAATTTACCAAAATTCCCATGCACATACCTCAACCCACAAGGTATGCACAAATCGATTCAAAATATTAAACAACATTAAAACACACTCACAATTAGACAAAACAACTGAGCATGCGCAATGGCGCCCCGCCGCAAGTCCCCGGCGCGCGCACATGGCCGAACGGCCAACGCACCCTCTGCCCCCTCCCTCCCCTGCCCCGCCCCACATGATCACGTTCACCAAACTTACCTCCTCCCCCTCCTTCTTCTTCCACCGCCCACGCCCCTCCAAGGAAGCCATGCCCGCTCCAATGCCCCGCCCCTTCCCGCCCTGTCAAAATCCATCCCTCCTCCCCCTCCTTCTTCTTCCCCCGCCCACGCCCCCTCCAAGGAAGCCACGCCCCCTCCAAACCCCCTGCCCCGCCCCTTCCCGCCCTGTCAAAATCCATCCCTCCTCCCCCTCCTTCTTCTTCCCCCGCCCACGCCCCCTCCAAGGAAGCCACGCCCCCTCCCCTCCAAGCCCCGCCCCTTCCCACCCTGTCAAAATCCATCCCTCCTCCCCCTCCTTCTTCTTCCCCCACCCACGCCCCCTCCAAGGAAGCCACGCCCCCTCCAAACCCCCCCCCCCCCTTCCCGCCCTGTCAAAATCCATCCCTCCTCCCCCTCCTTCTTCTTCCCCGCCCACGCCCCCTCCAAGGAAGCCACGCCCCCTCCAAACCCCGCCCCCCTGTCAAAATCCATCCCTCCTCCCCCTCCTTCTTCTTCCCCGCCCACGCCCCCTCCAAGGAAGCCACGCCCCCTCCAAACCGCCCCGCCCCTTCCCGCCCTGTCAAAATCCATCCCTTCTCCCCCTCCTTCTTCTTCCCCCACCCACGCCCCCTCCAAGGAAACCACGCCCCCACCAAACCCTGCCCCGCCCCTTCCCGCCCTGTCAAA